TATCCTCTCTCCCTCAAAACTCAATGCTGCCTCTTTTTGTCTTGAACTGGATAAAGGGAGGGCATCCTTAGTACTTCCCCCGCCCCCCCCGCCCCTAGACTCTGGAGATAATTCATAATCTCCATCGTCGAGGGTTTGAATTCAGGTCTGTTTGTTTATCAATACCATTCAGCCACATGGGCAGGGTACTCCTTCGTTTTTTCTAATTGAGGATTGAGGAAGAGGGGGGGGAGTCTGTACTCCATTACATGCAGATTTGTACTATCTGAGCACAGTTACGGCTGTGCTCCACAGGCTTAGCTTTGTGATTTTTGTAACTTAGGTTCGCGTCCCCAGGCAAAAATACACACCCCGGTAGAACAGTGCATCGGCCTTTACGTTCGGAAATGAAACAGTGTCGTGGCTGAGCGCAGAGGGGGTGGACTGAAAACGTACTTACTTTGAAGATGAATCCGCCCCTCTTGTTTCCCAAGTATTTTACATCACACTGCTCGCGTCAAAACGACGTCCATGCCAGCACTGGTTTCGCCCGCCTCCCCTTCCCTCGTGTCACAGTGAGAGCCACACGGTGCTACTTTCGTAAGTTTCATCTCAAAATGCGGTCTGTGGAGCCCCAAGAGAATTTACCAAGGAAAATTAGGAAATGGCTTACTTGCATTAAGTTAAACAAGTGGACCCCCCCGCAGCCACGCTGCGGCTGAGGAGAGGGGCGAACAGGGGGGCGATCAGCCGCGGGGTTGGAAAGTCTCTCTGTCTAAATCTCACCGCGCGCCCCCGCACCGCAGCCCCGCGCCACCCCCCGCAATGCAGAACATCACCCCATCCCCGCGGTCGATGCAGATGGACCAACGGTCCGATAGGCCGGCATCCCGAATCTTCAACGACCGACTGGCCGACGCCCCGCCCCCGCCCGAAAAGAAAAAAAAAGCAGCGCATCTGCCCCGAACTCCGCGTAAAATTCAGATTCCTGAAGCCCCCCACGCCCCGGAACAAAACAAAAAACCCGTGCATCTTCCCCCTGCCCCAGGTAAAATTCAGTCCGCCGTATCAGGAAGGCCTGCCGTTTCGCCCGCTGCTCCTCGCGCCACCCCCCGCAATGCAGAACATCACCCCATCCCCGCGGTCGATGCAGATGGACCAACGGTCCGATAGGCCGGCATCCCGAATCTTTGACGACCGACTGGCCGACACCCCGCCCCCGCCCGAAAAGAAAAAAAAAGCAGCGCATCTGCCCCGAACTCCGCGTAAAATTCAGATTCCCGAAGGCCCCCACGCCCCGGAACAAAACAAAAAACCCGTGTATAAGCCCCCCGCGCCCCCGAACAAAACAAAAAACCCGTGCATCTTCCCCCTGCCCCAGGTAAAATTCTGTCCGCCGTATCAGGAAGGCCTGCCGTTTCGCCCGCTGCTCCTCGCATGGTCCCTGGGCCCGTTTCGGCCTTTCCCAACAGTGGCGACGGGTGCTCGCGTGGGACCGTCACGCGAGACCCTCTATTTCCTTTATAGTATTAGAGAAAAAAAAGATTGAAGTTCATTAAACTCAACCTGTGAAGCACAAGCCTTACCCAGACCCACTCTAAAAACCACTACCGTCTTCACCCCAAAACAGCATCCTCATCATGAATGTATACAAGCTTTGTTCGTCGATTACAGTCATGATGGTTTATAAAAGCTTTCTTTCTGGTCAAGTACATGCGGCGCGTTGTGTTTGGGGGAAGACGGTGTGAGTATGCTCCAATAGGAATGAGGAAGAAACCGTTTTCAGAATTGTGAGGTCGAGCTCAGCCCATGTGACTGTGAATGGTACACCCATGTAGCTGTTGATCAACAGGCACCGGTTCTAATCCTGCCCGAGATCAGAGAAATAAACAAACACAACTCTGGATTACCTGCCGAGGCCAGTTGCTTGGATGATGGTATATCAAGGCCGTCAGTGCCGTCACCCTCTTTATAACATCGAAAAGGGAGAAGTGCAAGGAAATGAGTAGGAGCGAATGACAGAAATCCAGAATGGAACATCACATTGAAAGCCGAATAGTTACACGTCGCCCAGGAAGCAGAATGCACCACGTTGCACACCAATGGAGACCAAAACAGTGAACTCAATTCTCAATGTCAGCCCAATCCACGCCACCATCAACAGTGTACCCAATGTCTTTTCCCTACTGGCGCTCAGCCCAGACTATGATCACAGGACGCACTAACTAGCCTACAACCACGAAGCAGCAACTGGAAGACTTCAGTAGCAGAACCGATGTATGTGCAGATCTCGCCATGCAAGACCACCATCACGCCAGCAGGTATGTCCCCTCTTGCTCTCTACACCACCCTTGTCTTCTCCCACATGATGTCCTTCTTCCCGAAGACCACCACCTTGCCCCGCTGACCTTCCCCTGAGTCCCAGACCGGCTATGGCTGGCTGTGCTCTGGCACTGCCCCCAGCAGCGCCCAACACCTAATGCGCCCGCATGCGCCTCCACCGTCGCTACTACCGGCCCTGTGAGCGCTTGTTTCAGCAGGCGGCCTGGCCTGGGTGCCTGTAGTGCTCCTGGTGTCGAGTGGAGATTCAGTGGGGGCCCGTCTGCCCAGAAGTTTCCAGTCGGGCCCAAGTGTCTGCGCCCAAGCCCAGTTCAGATACTGGCCTGGAACGAAACAGTTGAGCAACCCCAACTGTATGACGTGGCTGGAGCTGGTCGCTGCATCCTCATTGACCCGTGGCCTTGTTGTGATGTCGCACACCGCTGCCTGGGTGACCTCTATTCAGAGCACGGTCACAGAGGGCCTCCCCAACCAACTGGCACCCTGGAAAAAAACTGTCTGGCGCCCACAGAGGCCAAAAATAGGCCGTCGCAAAATTGCAGGCCCGCCTAGTAGCACCTACACTTATGGCGGGCAGGCGGCTTGTCGAGCAGGGTCCCCCAGGTGGCAGCTGAGGGCGTTATCCCTCGCAGAAGGGGATAAAAATTCAAAAAGGAGGGGAAAGAAAACAAAAGTTTCCTTACAGGCATGTTTTTTTTTTGGTGTGTGGAGTTGTGTATAGCGAACATGACAACACACAAACAGAGGCACAAAAAAGAAGAAGCGTCAATCTCTGATCAGCAAGAAAAGTGTCAAAAAGTAAACCGAAAACCGGCTGTTCATCATCTGGAACATCACAGTTCATGTCGCTTTGGGATAATTCAGATATATTAATACCAATGTCGCCCAGTTCGGGATGAGCGAGGTGAATGAAGGCCTCGCTGCACCACTGTCGAAACTAGATAGTGTCAGTGTATGTTCCCTCAGAGAGGGGCAAGATGCATCAGTTGCTATGAATAGTACCGATGCATCTTTCCATTTTCTGTGGAAGATACCACTCTTGCCTTTTTCATTTCGACAGTGGTGTGGTGAGGCCCTTAACATAGGCAGACTACTTCATATCATTTCATGGCCATTCACTTCGATATATGATTTGACGGAGAATGTTTACCTTTCTCAGCCTTTTGGCTAAGATCAAGTGTAGTATCTGTTCTGATCAGTTTAAACCGCCAGTACACGGCCCCAGCCTCATTGAATAAGAAACTCGTCACCTACAAAAAATTTGGAGGCTTTACCCCTGAGGAAGACCGACACTGGAGAGTCAGTTGAAACACGTGTCGGGTATTTTCGCCAGCGCGCTTATTGCTTACGACGCATTCGTGTCAATTTCCTGTATTGTTTTTCACTCCTATCTTACGCACTATTGCGCTCAGGGGATTTCTCTTTTCGTTTGTCTCTGGTCTGTTTCTTCGTCTACATTCCTGGCAACAGACTTGTGTCCGTTTTCAACTTGTGTTGCTTTGATGGTTCATCTATCTCTCTCCCCTCGGCCTACCGGACCTTAGTGGCTGGCGGCAGCAGCCAAAAAAGAAAAAACGTGCACCGCTTGGTGTGCAGTAAGGCACCTGCAGGCCGGGTGTACTGGTGGTTTTAAGCCGCCAGTACACGGCTCCTGCCTCGCAGAATGTTTTTGTCACCACAAAGCAAAACACAAAAGGGGTGCATGCACTGCACGGCGCGGGGCGCCGTTGAGAAAAACAATCAACGGCCTCCGAACTGGTGCGGGTTTCATGCTGACCCACCCGGGGGCCGATGTATGGTGTACTGGTGCTTCAATATCTGATCCACGTTCCATCCGACCACAATGATATTAAATTAAGTTTTCGGGAGTACTGAGGCGTCACATTGGTAAGCTTGCTTGCCAGGTCCCTCCAGGGTTGCCTCTGTATTGCACTGCCGGAAGATACACTCGTACTATTTTCGTTTCGTCAGTGGTGTGGCGAGGCTCTTAACATAGGGCGATACCCTGAACATAGCCGGACTACTACGGGACTGGCCACTTCCCCACACCACTGAGGAAGTGGCAAGATGCATCCATCACAATTTATAGCAACGGATGCATCTTGCACTGGTGATTTTTTTTTCCGACAGTGCCATGGCACGGCCCTACTTCATCTGCAGCATCATTTCATGGGATTCGCTTTGGTATGATTTGCATTTGTTTCTTACCGCAGCCAAGAAAGACATCTTAGGGCCTAGCCACACCACTGTCGTAATGAAACATCATAGAAGCTCCACCATCTTCCATGTCACACCAAGAGCACCACTGCTTAAAACACCACTGCCTAAACCCTAAACCCTAAACCCCCGTGGGAGTGACACCCACAGCAAAGACTCTCTGAGCCTCCTCGCAAAGATACTGTGGCCAAAACTCCAAACAAACATTCCCACTGAAAAAAGCTTGCAGCCACCCACAGATATACCTTCATCAAAAGACAGCCCATGTTCTATAGCAGGGCAAATAATTAGGCCATGTATGAATAAAAAACAACCAACATACCTTTTGATTCGCGAGGTTCACTTTCAAGTTTCAACACAAGAAAAATGAACTCATTCTCTTTATTTTTTTGTATTGAAAACATACTTGCAACCGCACGAGCCGCACATTCGTGCGGAGTTCCGTGCGGGGGGTGCCTGTGCGGAATCGTGCAGGTTTTTTATTTTTAATATTATTATTTTATCTTGTTTTGGGAGGGGGAACGGGGGGCGTATGACAGGAAGATGGGGATAGGGCAAGGAGAGGGGGATATGGAGAGGAGGAGGAGGAGGTGGACGAGGAGGACGGCGAGGATAGCAAGGACGACGAGGAGGAGTCGAGATGGGGGAGGAGAAGAGATGGACGGAGGGAAAAGAGGAAGGGCAGGAGGAGGAGGACGAGTGGGAGGAGGAGACATGGACGACGAGGAAGGGGAGGACACGAGGAARGGGAGGACACGAGGAAGGGAAGGAGACGAGGAGGCATGGAAGATGAGGAAGTACGAGGAGGAGGAGGAGACAAGGAGGATGAGGAAGGGCAGGAGGAGGACGAACAGGAGGAGGAGGAGGAGAGGAGACGAAAATGAGAAGGGAGGAGGAGACATGGAGGACGAGGAAGGGGAGGAAGAGCAAGGTGAGGCAGTACTCCTGTATTTTTTTTTTTCATCTCGCTTATAATTTTGGCGGGGAGCCTCAAACGCACCATTTCAACCCCGGCCTTTTTTTCTTTCTGAGGGGGGTGACAGGTCGTTCTCCGCACACGTCGTGCGCCGCACGGGATCGGTTGGGCGCGTGCGCCGCACGTCGGGAACCTCCCGCACGACGTGCGCTTGCAAGTATGATTGAAAATCATTCTCTTTTCATTTCTTTCAATCTCATTTGCTCAATATTAAGTATTTATAACCAATTTATTACTATTATTAGTGTATTAATAACTGTTGTTTAATTTTAGAATATCTGTTATTTATTAGCACGGCTTATCTGGCCGGATAATCTGGTCGGATTATCTGGCCGGATTATCTGGCCGGATTATCGGGGGTTATGATCATCCGGAAATCCGGATGATTAAAAAAATGGCCAAAAAAAAGCAAAAAAAAAAAAAAAGTAAAAAAAAAAGTGATATTGCGCATGCAAAATACAATAGAACTATGTTCCTATTTCATAAAAAGCTTGATAGGTCATGGAAGGGTTCAAAGGGGGTAAGATAAGGAATAAAGGGGTTTTTAAAGTTTTTATCTTTTTTTTTTTTTTTCTGTTTTATTTTTTATCTTCTTATCTGTTGAGATATCAAAGATGGCCTCAAGACAAAAGTTGTTAGTATCATTGATATGAACTTTATGAAGTTATGAAGAACATACTTTTTTTCCAGATTTTTTTGATTTTTTTTTGGGGGGTAAAATAAAATAAAAAAATTGCGCAGGGCCGGATTTTCCATATCCGGAATTAATCCGGAATTTTCATCCGGATTGAAAATTCCGGACAAAATCGGCCTGCCGAATATCCGGATTTGAAAACATAAATGAATATTGAATCATTTATAACTTTATTTTATTGTATTTTATTTACAATGAATATTTTAAAATATTTGAATATTTATATGGGTGTGTGCGTGTTTTGTGTGTGTGTTTTGTGTGTGTGTTTTGTGTGTGTGTTTGTGCGTGTGTTTTGTGTGTGTGTGTGTGCTCCTGCACACACATGCATGCCTGAGCACGAGCAAATGGGATTGTTGGCATTGGTGGAAGAGGTGGTGGTTAATAACTCGACAGGAGGTGAAACTTAGAAGTGCCACTTCCCAAGGAAGGAGCACTCCCTGACAAGTGATGCTAGTTGTTCCTCTGTTATGGGGCCTGGGGGCTAATCATTTCGGGGATTTGATCATCTGGGGGGGGGGGTGTTTGATCACTTGAGTGCAGGATGCTTTTGCTGACGATTTTGTTATTGTTGAACACGACAAGGATCCATTGCGCTCCAAGGACGTTGTTGCTGTCAATTCACTTGTAAGTAATGGCAGGCTGGGACTGTGAACAAGTCCTGCTCATCCTTTTTTTTTTTTTTTTTTTTTTTTTAACAAGTCCTGCTCATCCTCTTCCTGTGTATGGTTGTTATCTCACTATTGCTCAAACACGTATGCATTTAGTTTACCATTTGGATTTGTGTGTGATCAGCAGTCCCACGGAAACCCGATTCATTGAGATTCAGTTGGACCTTCTGAAGAAGCTCCTGTGTGTGATCAGCCGTCCCACGGAAACCCGTTTCATTGAGATTCAGTTGGACCTTCTGAAGAAGCTCCATTCGGCAAACGCATTTGGAATCCGGGATGTATCCGACAATTTTGAGACGAGATGTGCTCTTTTAGTTTTTTGTTCAGTAATATTCGCGTTGTTTTTCTTTCTTGAAAGGGCGAGATGACATGTCCTTAATTTATACTCACCGCCACCATTTTTTATTTTTATTTTTATTTTTTCATTTTTTTTTTCCCCACCGGCAAGTCAGAAAAAAAGATTACACCAGATGCTCACACATGCTCCTCCCCATTATGGTTGAGAGGCCCGAGTGGACGACATTGATTACTTCCTGAAGGACCCCTGCCTAAGTTAGCCTGGCAGTACGTACCTATGACCTTAGAACTTAGACTGCCCTCTCCTCCTGTTTTTATCTGCTGGCCGCGGTGCACCTCTTACTAGCTCATTCATCTCAGCTGCTAGGCTGTCAGATTAGCTTTAGGTACTGAAGCTGCTGGTCCAATTTCTTGCTACCCTTCCTAATAAACCCTATCCCTTTAGCTGGTTTGGTTTTCTAATTGCTAAGAAAGTGAGTCTTGTGTTATACATAATACCTATACCCTAAGCCGTCCTTAGCACACCCTTTGAGCTCTTTATCCTTCCTTTTTTCGCTCAGCGGATTGTTGTTTCTGGCGAGTTCCCTTCGAACTGACCTTTTTTAATTCCCCTGTCCGAGTTAATTTCTTGTGTTAGCTGAGAAGTCGCGGCTACCCGGTTCTGACCTCCTTTAATAATCTCATCCTACTGCTTCCTCCTTTCAGCCTAAACCCTGAGCCCTAGAGGCTGCTCGCTGTGGGGAACTGATTCTTTCCCTTGCACCTTAAACCCTAAACCCTCTGTCCTCCGTGGTTCTGTGAAGATGTTTGACTAAACAAATTATCCTTCCCCTATTGATCTAGGTCCATTGGAGTAGCTTCATCCTGCTCTGCCCTTGGGCTGGCGGGATCCCACCAGTCTGTGAAGTGAAGGGCTCTTCCAGTTATTCGTGCCAATAACCCCCCTTCAGACATATCTCCTCAAATTCCTTCTGTATTTTAGTCCTTTTTCTGTTCTTCCACTTCCTCATCCATCTTGGTCAGGGTTCACTTCCATTCCACTCCTGTTTCCACCATTTCTCTCGCTTCTTCCCACGATTCATTGGTCGTTACTTTCTTTTTACCTATTGTGCCCCCGCGTTGGGCTCTCCAGATTACCCACAAGGTTGTTCTTCGCAGCAGCTCTATAATCTCTCTGTCTTCTTCACAAACTAAACCATCGCAGTCTATTGCTGTCAAAAGGAAGAACTGTTCTGCCGGCTATTCGTTAGAAGATAGGTTGGACCATGCCATTTTGCACTTGGCCCAGAGAGATTTGGCGTGTTGGCAGTCCAGCAGGCAGTGAGTTAGGGTTTCCCTTTCTTGTTCCCGACACATTTGGCAGTGCGCAGAAGTTTCCATTCTATTCTCCTCTATCCGTCTTGATTCTAACCAAGAATTGACGGGGACTGCTAGGTAAATTATCAGCCACTGCATTCTTATTCGTTGGGGTCTAATGGATGCGTAGAATGACCATGGGATTGACTGTAAGGAAGCGGGGTCGATTTGCAGATTCTTTTCACATCTTGCCGCTATGACCGACTGTGGGTTTTCCACCTTACGCCTAATCTTATATTCTTTTTTCACTGTGTATTTGTGCAAAGCGATTCACTTTTTGGCTCTTCCCCATCCTCTGTTCTCGTACCATCCCCATTCATCAGGGTCAACTTCTAATTCTGAGATGTCCTTGGTTGGTCTGAACGGCCAGATGGGAGCATCCGTCCGTCTTCTTCCTCCTTTTTTTTGCAATCAGACTTGCGACTTCGACTTCAGCATGCATACAAATAGATGACGATCAAACTAGCGCCAAGCGCCCACACGAAGCTCATAGATAACGAAGACAAGAACGCAGCTCAGATTCAAACTTGTCTCAAGTGGCTATGGCCGCAACTCATTCGTACACAGACCACTCTGGATCTCCCTGGATATCCCGACACACACACTCACTCGCTCAACTACTAACTCTCTACTAGCTGATGTGGCGGCTATGGCCGCTGTCTTCCTCCCTACTACTGACAGCTTCGGCTATGGCCGACTTCCTTTTCTTAGCCCTCTTCTCCCTCGGGCAACTACAGACCTCCGTACACAAGACACTCCGACAGCGCTTCCGCACGGCTCACAGGCAGAATGAATCCATGACAAGACGCTGCCTCTTGATTTATACTTCGGATGGTTGCTGGTCTGCTCCTTTCCACCGGGCCCAGGGTGCACACAGTCCAACATGGTACTTGCTGACTGGACAAAGTGCTACTCAGTAGGACTGGGTACCGCTGACTAGGCGAGGTTGGACTTCCCACTTGCCCACTTGCCTCTAGCCTAACCTTCACAATTCTCGAAAGGCCAGTTCTGGACCTTCCGGAAGTCTGTAGACTCGGCCTTTCGGGACTGTAGCAGCTACGACCTTGACCTTTCAGGACTGTAGCAGGTACGACTTTGACACAGCCACAACCCCTACTCGACAGACCTCCGATTGAAGACCAGACGACCATACTAACCTGCGACAGACAACAAATGACTACCAAGACACAGGTCACGGGTTCAAACACACAGGGGTCCACTTGGTACTGTACACGGGTGAGGACAAGGTCTAGGGATCGAGCCCTGGGATCTGCGTCTGCTACTGCAAAGGTGAAAACTGTTTCACTCCCACCAGCCTAAATTCGAGGTCCTCCGAGAATATGTCAATCTACAGCAGGATCTTTACCTTTCTTAGCTCTTTCATAGGCACGGATTACATCGGGAGCAGTCTCTAGAAGCTCTGTTTGGGTAAACCAGCGGTCGTCTTCCAGTTCTTGATAAGAAATCTGACTTTATACTGTTTCTGTGGACAACCTCTAACTCCTGTTCTGAATACATCCTCGCCTACTATGCGGTCAATGCCGTACCTTCCGTCCATATCCGGAGGGATCATGGACCTTCTCGATGGGAACTGCTGGCTCGTAGTACAAGGCAACAACTTTGACGCATGAAAAACTGGGTAGGTGTGGAGGTGTGCTCGAATCTGTATCATGTAGGACGGTCCATTCTCTCCGCCCTTGACTTCTAGGACTGGCCACAGTCCTCTATACGCAGGTAACAGTTTCTGCGAGATGTTCTCCTCAGGAGTTCCGATTTACGCAGGCCGAGGCGGAACGTATATTGGCCGAAGTGTCGGCCTTCCTACACCTGTCTCCACCTGGCGAGAGCCACGTGTCTGTCATTGTCGTCTTCACAGGCAACATCACGACGCTGCATCCAGCGAGGCATACTGAGATCTTCCGGCAGCTGCGGGGCTGGGCAATGGACATCACGACTACGCGGGTGCGATTACTGGCTCGGCCGCGCGATCACATCGTGACAAACAACGACGTCGATCTCCAGCTTCGGGTCTCCTCCACCACGCCAGAGGTCCTCCTCCCGGAGCTTCGTCCTTTCGCCCCGCCTCAATGAACCGTTACCACCTCTCCACCTTCGGCCTCCCATCCGATACTCCTACATTTTGGCAGTCTGCTGTGGACACCACTTTATCCTTCAGAATCAGGCAGTTGGACGTGCCGATTCTGGACACGGCTAAGTGGGCACAGTGGTGGCACGCTTACGTGGCACTCAGCTTCTGCCTCCTCGAAGTCGTCTTCCATTGGGCGAAGCTTGCTGACAAGAGCGAGGAGGATGAGATCCCGGACGATGAGGTGGAGTTGTTGATCATCTAGGCCTGGAGAACGGACACGAAGGGAGAGCTTCTTGGGATCCTATTTGGGGAGGTGCGCGACAGTCACCTGGATTCGATTACGGACGAGTTGCTGGTGTTTTTGGTTTAACTACTGGACGATCTGCCTTTGGAGATCCTCTCACGCTGTGACGAGAGGCCAGGGACGGCCACGCTCGCTCGTACCTTGGTCCGCCATCTCCTGTGGTCTACGTGCACGGAGCTTGACGGGGATAACTGCTACTACCCCTCTAAGGGCGCTTTTGTGGTCATCGACGTCACTGATCTTTCCCTCTGGGACCCTCACATCCGGCGAGTGAACGTAGGAGAAACCAGCGAGGAAGCCGGAGAGGAGGAAGAGGAAGAAGAAGCAGCCGAAGACGAGATCCTGGAGGATGATCATCTTCAGTACACGGAAGGAAAGGAAACGCCTGAGGAGGGGGAATCGGAGGCTGGGTCGGACGATCCCGATTATCACGAATCGGAGGACGCCGAGTCGGAAGAGGCCAGCTCGGGACGGGAGGAGTCTGAGGAGGAAGAGGGCGGATCGGGTGAATCGAGTGGTCCTACCGAGCTGAGCAAGGAGGAGAAAGAGGCTGTGGCGCAGAGAAGACGGGCAGCGACAGAAGGCAAGCGGCATCGAGGAATCAGAGGGGCCGCCACCGCAATTGCTGCAGGGCGATCCGACGCTCAATCCAGAGCCGCCACAGGAGGAGATCGAGAGAAATGGAGGCGCCATTGCAGAGGGATCGGGAAGCCGACGCCGCCGAAGAAGTGAATCGCCGGCTCAATCCTCTCCAAGGCCCAACCTTCGCCTACGTCGAGATGCGAGCGCTCAGGCTTCGTTCCCGGTCATTATCCCGCCGTCCCGGTGACTTCCTCACCCTTCAGCAGCTCATAGGCCCACCCCCATTCCCTGACGGATGGCACCCCTTCCCACCTTCCCTCTTCCACCATCTCTACTCCACCCGCCTCCTGGTCACTATCTTCCCACATGCCACCACTCGCTCACTCCTCACCTCCTTCCCCCTCCACGTCCTTCTCTTTAGCGTAGATTGGCAGGAATTTAATAATATAGAGCTTTATTGCATGATAGCGGGTACAATCCCCGCGTGCGAAGAGTATGAAGATTTCTGCGTTGCCATCCGCTGCACCCTCTGCACTCTCTACCCCGACTACCTCGCCTCCCTCCCTCACCAGCGTCGACACCCGCGTTTTCCCCGTATCCATCGCACTGTCTACTATGTCCCGCACCCCATTGGCGACAAAGAAATCCATCGCTTCATGCCTCCCCTTCCACAAGTCCATCCACCACCGCCTCCGCCCGTCATCAGATTGCCTTTCCCAAGTAACGTTTAGGATTGAGCGCACGAATGCTACGATGGATGACTTCCACGCTCGGATCTTGCGGTAAGTGGCACGTGCAAGCTCCACGTGGATCCTCGGATCACGGGTCGACGCCTGATGAGAGAGCAAGCAGGAGCTTGCTCAAGATTGGAACCCCCTGGGCGTCACATATGTGACGAACAATTTTCTTTAACCTCGCGACTTTCTGCGCGAAGCTTCTTCCCGGGTTCGGACGAGTTGGTCGGGTGAGGAACATGGGGTTGGGTCGGCCGGGCAAGTTGCAYGGATGCCCTCACTTCTTTCTTTTTTGGACCTTCGACCAGGGTCGGGAAAGTCCCACGCAGACGATGAGTGGGCACGGGAGCATAACTGTTGCCATAGCTTCTTTCTTGTTCTGCTGTGGGAACTGGGAATTCTTGGCGTGATCGTCGCGCGGGAGCGTCGTTTTCAAATTTTCGAACTGATGTCGAGCCCCCCGCRGGCTCTTGGAATTGTTTTCCCTTTGGAATTTCTTTTTGTAAATTAGGATTTAGATAGGAATTTAAGTACCTTAGAAATTTCTGTTGCACCGCGCTTCTTGCTTGCGTACCTCTCACCGTGGTGGGGACTGGGCTATGACTGTATCACGCCCTTAATCATGTGTGTAACTGTAATTTTTGGCGGGCGCAATTGTAACTGTACTCCTTGATTCTCTCGTGTTTCCCCGCCTTCTCCCTCTCTGTCGCGCATACCTCGTCCTCCATTCCAATTGGCGTAAACGACTGCATGACCGGATCGATGTGTGGAGTGTGGCTGTGTCCCCCACGCCGCGGCTTGGCTATGCAGAAGTAGGCTCCTTATTGGCGTGACCCACCTTGTTCTGAGTGCCAGCAGGACCATCCCTACCGAGCCGCAGGGTTCACCAGACGAACCCTCTCCGAAACCGAGCGGCGGGCACACAGTCTTCGCCTGAGGCCTGCCACGTCAGATTCCGAAACTTGTGACGTTCGTCGGCAACAATTACTCAGACAGAGCGACAGCCACAACGTCCCGCTGGTACACCAAATACGGGACCGACCCTGACGATGGAACCAGCAGAGGTGGTGACCCTAATCTACGTAGCACTAGACCCAAGCGCGATCCGCGACCACCTCCCTGCAGTTTTGTCCCTAGCTTGCCACCGGAGATCCCAGTTCCGAACTGGGACTCCACCCCCACTTTCCTAAAATCCTTGGCACACACCTTTTTCGCACTTTCGGGCCCCCATTTCACTCCGATCAGGAAGTCGCGCTGGGCGTGAGCTTGGTATCGGAGCCGACACGTGGCGAGCTCACAGAGTAGCAAGTAGGTAAGTCGCACAAACGACCTGGCGAACAGAGGGCGGCCTAGACAGTGGAACGCGCAGTGACGCGATCCTATAGTAACTAGGAGCACATCGGTCGGTCGTCAGGCTGCCAATATGAATGTGAATCAAGCGCAAAACGTTAATGTACAGCTAGGCGGTCCACCTATTCCCGCGCCACCAATCCGAGTTTGCGCACCTGCAGCTCCACCAGATTTGTATCTCTTTGACCCTGCACATCACCTGGCGGGCATGGCTGGCCACATTGCGTGCACAACAGTACGACAACGATGAAGCCAGGATCAATATCCTCGCCAGATTGGGAGGGGGTGCACACCACTGGTTCAACACTTGCGCCTGGATAGTTCTCCTGACCTTCGAGAGGGACTTCATGAACAGATTCGACTACATCCACCCTGAACAGGCCTTCTTTATGATCAAAGAGCAGGTTCAGAAGCCCCTCGAGTCTGTCACAGAATACCGTAGTAGGTTTTACAAACTGTTTGTCAAATCTGCGAGGGACGAGAAGGTCGGAAGGGGTTTGTTCATCGATGGGCTTCGCAGCCAGGCAATGAGGGCGAAACTGCGAAAGCAGTTTTCTCCCATCAATCACACTATGCAACAGATTATGGATGGGGCGGAAGAGAGGGAGAGGAAGTTTGCCGCTAGCTTCCTAGAAGGGGAGGACCACGCTAAGGAAGGGGATTCCTTAGAATTGGCCAGGGCGAAGACCGAGCTGGCCGCACTTCGAAACAAATTTGAGAACATGGGTTTCGTCTCCAGCCCCGTCACTTACTTAGAACAGGTTGTAGCTAAGAGACTGATACCTGACACAACCACAGGAATGCCCATAATGGTTGCATCTTCGCCTCCCCCAGATCCCCCTGTAAAGCCAAGCGAATCAAACGCGATACTGTAACTAACTCGAACGCTGGTTAACTTAATGCAAGAAAGTAAGAAGGAGCAGCGTAAGCACAATGCTCGGATTGAATCATTAATGAGATCGATGCGTCCCATTGCCGTAAGAGCAGCCCCGATAACGCAAGGAGCAGCCTCCACTCAGGCCATGGGCAGAGCAACAGATAACTTAAGCGTTTGCTACAGGTGTCACCAGCCCGACCATATAGCCCGGGACTGTCCCCACCGACCCACGCAAGTCCGAGTAGGAGCCGCCCCGGTGGTGGCAGCGCCGATAGCTAATGGACCAGGGAGGCTGGGCACGATGATTGAGGAGATGGAAGGTGGAGGAAGTGCGGTAGCCACTAGTGAGGAAGCCGCGAAACTTATTCCACTTGACCAATACATCACATTGGGTTTTCTGATGTTGGGAATGATCAGAACCATCCGGCCCGCTAACGAACAACGAGGGATAGCTGAATGGAGACCTTCTCCAGGAGAAATGGAGTCAGGTGGTCCTACCTTCGTCACTAGGGAGATCGATGTTTTGGATATCGTCCGAGCTCTGGATCACCGGATTCCGTTGCCCATCGGGCACCTATTGTCCATATCGGAACAAGCCAACGAACGCATGTTGCAGCATTGCAAGGCAAACTGGAAACGATTTGCTCTCGCCAATCCAGCTGCTCAGAAAGGAAAGGCCCCGACCCTCGAAGATAGACCGGACGTCCCTAGTACCTCAAACCCAACACGATTAGGAATAATTCAAAAAAATTATCATTTCTTGCGAATCAAAGCCATTCCGTGGAAATCCGCGGAATGCGATATCGAGGTATGGGGAGTCCCCTACGATGCTATTATCGATTCGGGAGCTGCGGTACGGGTTATCTCCCTGAGAGTCGTAGAACGGGCAGGAAGAAGGAAGGATTTGATCACCTTGATGGAAGGAGATCATCTCGTCTCCGCCGATGAAGAGAAAATCAAAGCGGTAGGAAAAATGACGAACGTCGCGTTTCGACTAGGAAAAGTTCACGCATTAGGAGACGTTGTATTACTGGAAGTAAACACCTATGATGTCCTTCTGGGACTACCTGCCCTCACCGCACTACGAGCCAACCTGGACTTTGAGAGACGATTAGTCATCCTTGGAAACACAGGCGGAAAATCGTATGTTATTCCGATGCGATTAACCCTTCGGGCCACACCTCCCTCGACTCAGAAACCCCCGCCTGGAATCAAGGAACCTCTTCGGGTGATCACGTGGAAGGAACCAAGTCACGGGAAAAACCACAGGGGAAAAGAACCTGAGCTATCTAGCAGCTCATCCGACAGCGACGATGGTACGGATCCTACAATCCAAGATATGGCGCGCCAATTGATCCGCTACCCCATTCGACCAAAGATAACGAAGACGTTCTTCGTCACGGAAAGAAACCTCCATCCAACTCGGGCTCTAATTTTTTGGGAACCACTCGTACAAGTATCCCGGATGATCGATTCTTCGGAACCCCCTCGAATCCTATACGAAGTCACCGCCCTACTTCTCTCAAGATACCAGGAGAAGAGGGCATTTTGCGATATTACAGGGCTACCTCGCTCCTTGCTGTCTTCAGGAAAGGAGGTGCGATTAATGCGGCAGGGGGCCGAGAGCGAAGCTTTGGAACCCCCTGGGCGTGGCGACTCTACGCCTTATGAGCTCAGGATTGAAATCGTCGAGAAACCAATATGCTGGCAGGATATCAGCGATGACGTGACCCCGGAAGAACACGTGGCCATCCGAGAGGAAGGCGCTCAAATGATCGCCACCGTGTTTTCCTGGCGATCGGACAACTCCTTCATCTTTGCTCCCCCTGCGGGGAGCAGCCCTGGAGTAAGCACAAAGCACGTAACGATTACCATACATGGACAGCCGTACGAGCTGCATGTGCCTTAGTATGTACCCAATGAAACCCATCAATTAATTGCAGATATTCTGACCGAATATCAAGGGGCGATTAGTGTAGCGGACACAGATATCGGACTATCGTTAGTCATTCAACACGAAATTCAGACCGGAACGCACCCGCCAATCCACTGCAAACCGTACCGGTATTCTCTCGCGGAACGAAGAGTAGCATTGCAAAGAATCAGAGAATTCGAGGCTAACAAATGGATCGAAACGGCGACCGGATCTTGGTCGTTTCCTGTGGTCTCAGCCCCGAAGAAAAACGCGTCGATGCGCATTTGCATCGATCACAGGAAGTTGAATGATATCACGATTAAGGATGTGTACCCCCTTCCCCGGATTGATGATCTATTGGATGTGATTGGGTGTGCTAAGTATTTCAGTAAGTTTGATATTCGCCATGGATTTCATCACATTCTGGTCAAGGAGGAGGATCGGCCGAAGACGGCCTTTGTGTTATTCGAGGGCACCTGGCAGTGGGTCCGCTGCCCAATGGGAAGTTGCAATGCACCAGCTACTTTTCAGAGAGCGATGAACGTCATGTTTCAGAATTTCGTCAACAAGACCAGGCTAACTCAAGGCATGATTAATTTCTGCGTCATTGTGTACATGGACGACATCCTGGTCTACTCGGAATCATTCCACGGGCATGCACACCATATTGAGTGGACACTTGGGGCGTTGCAGGATGGTGGCTTCAAGATTGCGTTGGAGAAAAGTGAGTTTTTCCTTTCAGAAATCTCGTTCCTGGGATACGTGGTGACCCGGGGACGCTTACGACCGGATTTGAGAAAGGTCGCGGCCGTTCGAGACGCCCTCGCACCTACGTCGTTGACGCAGGTCCGGGCCTTTTTAGGGCTGGCCTCGTACTACCGCCGATTTATCAAGGGATTCGCAGCAATCGCACAACCTCTAACGAATCTTTTACGAAAAGACCAGCCGCTGAGTTGGGACGCCGAGTGCGAAGGGGCCTTTATCACCTTTAAAGGAGGCTTTGGCCACAACGCCCATTTTGATTTGGCCTGACCCGGAGAAACAATTCATACTCATTACGGACTGGCAGCCCGAAGCAATCTCCGCTATTTTGGCTCAGAAGGGGAAAGACGGCCGCGAACACGTCATCGAGTACGCTTCGCGAACGGTACCGGACAAGAGAAGAAACGATTCGGCTCCTCAGGGAGAATGCTACGCGGTTGTTTGGGGGATTCAACACTTCCATCCGTATTTTTACGGACAAAAGTTCCTCCTTGTCACGGACCATGAGCCCCTGCTGGCTCTCAAGAGGCTTACCAACTACACGGGCATGATGGGACGTTGGGCTGTGACTACAAGAATACGATTTCGATATCGTCCACCGGAAGACAAAGAAGCACGGTAACCCTGATGGACTGACACGATTGCACCGGCCTGGCAAGGTGGCCAAGGGCGAAGAGATCACACCGTGGAAGGAACTGGAACCAACCAGCCCTCGTACAAACAGGTGGCCATCCTCCCTCGGACCTCTAAGAAGTGATCGACAGACACAATGGCGATGGGGCATGGAGGTAATCCCGAAGGTCCTCTTTCTCCCCTCTCGTCTTCCTCTTTTCTTTCCATGCCCGACAAATTTTGCTATTTTTGCGAAGCAATCTCTCGAGAGTCTACTCGGTCCCTATGCGTCCTAGTGGGGAGGGGTATGTCGAGTGGGTAGACTGTCAGCGGTGTGTCTCCAGAGCTCATGGTTCCTGCATCTAGTATAGAAATACAGGTAAACCCTGGTTATGTCCCTTGTGCCGACGGAAGCTCGATTTCTCGAAGCCACGTCGGAAGGGTTGGAAAAGACCCGACGATTTAGACGGGCCGAGGTATGGACAAATGTCGTCTTGATAGCTACGGTGGTTGGGAACTCCCTCCAAGACTTCACTAAGGAGGACCGGAGGAGGGCCAATGAGAGGGCACGGGACTACCGATGGAATGAGGGACGGTTAGAAAAGCGAAAGACGGATGGTAGTGGGATTTGGATGTCCGTGCCTCATCCGTTCATGAGGTATGACTGGGTCAAGTCGGCCCACGAGGAAACTGCGGCTCACTTCGCCGTCCGGATCACGGAGGCGGCGATCGATAAAAACGAATGGTATTGGTCCAATATTCGCGATGATGTTAAATTCATCGTCCGAAAATGTCCGTCTGTGCCGCCGACAAGGCGCCGATTCAGCTGCCTAGATCGATGGTGCCCACTATAGTTGAACGGCCGTTCCAGAGAGTCAGCATGGATACCACAGATATTGTCGTACCCCCTGGACCAAATAGCTGTTAATATTCACTTCTTTTGGTGTTTGTGGATCACTTTTCGAAATGGATTGAGGCGTATCCTTGTAAGCGAGAGGCGGCGGGAATCGCACGATATGTCAACCGTTTTCTCGGGATGCATCAGGACACAGAGGAGATCTCAACCGACAACGGGGCAGAATTCTGAGGGGAAGTCTTGAGGAATCTGCTCCTACATGGTGTCTCAGTCCGCAATACTACTCATCATATGTCACAATCAAACAGACTGGTAGAAAATGCCAACCGAGTAATTAAGACAGCATTACGGCGTAATATCGCGGCGAAAGATACCAGACCTTGGCCCGATATCGTAGACCACATCCTAGCTATTCATTGAGGGACACCCCACGAGTCTACCGGCCTGACCCCCTTCCAATTACGGACCAATAGTGTGGCCTGTGTAGCCCTACTGAGCCTAAATGATGAAACGACCCTTCCGTGACGGGCCACTAGAGCGACGATCAAAGATAAGGCCCAACGCCACCTGGAATTAATGGAGAAGGCCCTCCCCCGATTAGCCCGAAAAAGACAACGGATGACTGAAATGGCCCACGGATGCCAGGTCCGGAGTTACGAGGCCCGAAATGGGAACGTCCTCGGCCCCATTATAAATTAGGGGACATGGTTCAGGTGAGGAAATGTGCTTGTCAGGGTAAGTTAGCGCCACGATTCTTCGGGCGATTTCGCGTTGTCGAGCTCGGTCCTAGCAGAGTGAACACAGTGCGACTCGCGCAGGAGGTGTTGGGAAGTCGATCGGCTCGCCCGATCATTCGACACGTGTCCTACCTTCGTCCTCTCCACTCTTCCCCTTCTCTTTAATCATCTACGTCGTCCCTCGATCTCGAGGAGGAAGACGACCGTCTCAACCACCTTGATCCCTCTTCTTCTCAACCCTCGTCTCCTTCGTCATCACCATGAGCTTTTCCACCGAACAAGTCATCGGCGAGCGGCTAATGGTACCCGGGGGAACCATCTCTGCGATCCGGCAAGTGCAACGTCCTCGACTGAGTCCCGATCTTCTTCGGTTCACAACCTTCTTCAGTACATCAGCCATCCACGCGGCGGCGGATTTTCGATTTACGCAGGCCGAGGCGGCACGTGTATTGGCCGAAGTGTCGGCCTTCCTACGCCTGTCTCCACCTGGCGAGAGCCACGTGTCCGTCATTGTCGTGTCGTCTTCACAGGCGACATCACGGCGCTGCATCCAGCGAGGCATACTGAGATTTTCCGGCAGCTGCGGGGCTGGGCAACGAATATCACGACTGCGTGGGTGCGATTACTGGCTCGGCCTCGCGATCGCATCGTGACAAACAAAGATGTCGATCTCCAGCTTCAGGTCTCCTCCACCGCGCCAGAGGTCCTCCTCCCGGTGCTTCGTCCTTTCGCCCCGCCTCAATGAACCGTTACTGCCTCTCCACCTTCGACCTCCCATCCGATACTCCTATGTTTTGGCAGTCTGTTGTGGACACCGCTCTACCCTTCAGAATCAGGCAGTTGGACGTGCCGATTCTGGACGCGGCTAAGTGGGCACAGTGGTGGCACACTTACGTGGCACTCAACTTCTGCCTCCTCGAAGTCATCTTCCATTGGGCGGAGCCTGCTGACAAGAGCGAGGAGGATGAGATCCCGGACGACGGGGTGGAGTTGTTCATCATCCAGGCTTGGAGAACGGACATGGAGGGAGAGCTTTTGGGGATCCTATTCGGGGAAGTGCGTGACAGTCACCTGGTTTCGATTACGGACGAGTTGCTGGTGTTTTTGGCCCAACTACTGGACGGTCTGCCTTTCGAGATCCTTTCGCGTTGTGACGAGAGGCCAGGGACGGCCACGCTCGCTTGTACCTTGGTCCCCCATCTCCTGTGGTTTACGTGTACGGAGCTTGACAAGGATAACTGCTACTACCCCTCTGAGTGCGCTTACCTGGTCATCGACGTCACTGATCTTTCCCTCTGGGACCCTCTCATCCGGCGAGTGAACGTAGGAGAAACCAGCGAGGAAGCCGGAGAGGAGGAAGAGGAAGAAGAAGAAGTCGAAGACGGGATCCTGAAGGACGATCATCTTCAGTACACAAAAGGAGAGGAAACGCTTGAGGAGGAGGAATTGTAGGCTGGGTCAGACGATCCCGATTATCACGAATTGGAGGACGCCAAGTCGGAAGAGGCCAGCCCGGGACTGGAGGAGTCTGAGGAGGAAGAGGGAGGATCGGGTGAATCGAGTGGTCCTACTGAGCTGAGCAGAGAGGAGAAAGAGGTCGTGGCGCAGAGAAGACGGGCAGCAATGGAAAGCAAGCGGCCGATCGAGGAATTAGAGGGGCCGCTGCCGCAACTGCTGCAGGGCGATCCGGTGCTCAATCCAGAGCTGCCACAGGAGGAGATCGAGAGAAATGGAGGCGCCACTACAGAGGATCGGGAAGCCGACGCTGCCGAAGAAGTGAATCGCTGGCTCAATCCTTTCCACGACCCAACCTTCGCCTACGTCAAGATGCGGGCGCTCGAGCTTCGTCCCCGGTCATTATCCCGCCATCCCCGTGACTTCCTCACCCTTCAGCAGCTCATAGGCCGACCCCCATTCCCTGACGGATGGCACCCCTTCCTGCCTTCCCTCTTCCACCATCTCTACTCCACCCGCCTCCTGGTCACTATCTTCCCACATGCTACCACTCGCTCACTCGTCACCTCTTTCCCCCTCCATGTCCTTCTCTTTAGCGTAGATTGGCAGGAATTTAATAATACAGAGCTTTATTGCATGATAGCGGGCACAATCCCTGTGTGCGAAGAGTATGAAGATTTTCGCGCTGCCATCCGCCGCACCCTCTGCACTCTCTACCCCGACTACCTCGCCTCCCTCCCTCACCAGCGTCGACACCCACATTTTCCCCGTATCCATCGCACTGTCTACTATGTCCCGCTCCCCACTGGCGACAAAGAAATCCGTCGCTTCATGCCTCCCCTTCCGCAAATCCATCCACCACCGCCTCCGCCCGTCATCAGATTGCCTTTCCCAAGTAACGTTTAGGATTGAGCGCACGAATGCTACGATGGATGACTTCCACACTCGGATCTTACGGTAAGTGGCACGTGCAAGCTCCACGTGGATCCTCGGATCACGGGTTGACGCCTGATGAGAGAGCAAGAAGGAGCTTGCTCAAGATTGGAACCCCCTGGGCGTCACATATGTGACGAACTATTTTCTATAACCTCGCGACTTTCTGTGCGATGCTGCTTCACGGGTTTGGACGAGTTGGTCGGGTGAGGAACATGGGGTTGGGTCGGCCGGGCAAGTTGCACGGATGCCCTCACTTCTTTCTTTTTTGGACCTTCGACCAGGGTCGGGAAAGTCCCACGCAGACGATGAGTGGGCACGGGAGCATAACTGTTGCCAT